TTACTTCAGACACCTGGAACTGACCTTTTTTTAGTTTTTTTTTCTAACTTTTAGATTAAAATTTTTATTGCAATTTGTAAATGTTTATTTCGTGCACACTTTTCATGCCTAGAAGCTTGATGTATCCTAAAATAATATTCTCAGTATCCAAGTGCTGTTTTAACCAAAATCTTTATTCCATAAAAAAAACTGTTGTTTTTTCTTTTTTTTTTTTTTTTTTTTTTATTCTACTTCTAAGTTCATTCTCCAGTATTTGGGGAAAAAAAAATAATTACAATCTGCCTGTGTTGATCTGACATACTTTACATGGCTGGAACTTTTTGCACTTACTGCTGCTGATTTATCTCATTTTTTGCTATCCCAAAATGTCATGATTTTCAATTGTGAGATTGACTAGTGATGTAGCAACTGATAACTATCTGAATGTAAAATTAATGTTTGAAAGTACAGAAAATAAAGCTGTTTCTCTACAGAAAGGTATACGTATAATTTAAACTGGGTGAAAGGATTAGACACAAATTCCTAATTGTGATATTTAGCAAAAGTAAAAGGTGTTCTGAATCACTTTACAGTTAAATATTCTTGAATATGATTATGGGTGAACTTTAAAAAAAAAAAAAAAATCTATTGTGAAGTGCTTTATTTAACAGAATACTTAAGAACATTACAGTGGGTAGATTGGCATCATGTTAGTATCACCTCTGCCTGCCTGGTACACTTCAGACCTGTCTGTATGAGAAGCTGTTGGTTTGTCCCTATTTGTTCTCCTGTTCAAATGTGATTACTCAGGAAAGCAGTTCCACCAGGAGCATCATCAGTTCCCATTAACTTCAGCTGAAGTAAAGGGGCACAGCCTTTCTTAGGGGATGCAAAGAAGCATCAGATCAGATCCTTGAGATGAAATTCAGTTATTTGCAGAAGATTTACACAAAGCTTAGGTATCATTTAAGTACCACATGATTCTCTATAATGGAACTCAGAGAAGATTTGAGAAGTCTGATAGGCTTTTTGCTGTCTATCTACAGAGATCTGAGTTTCACCCCTGGTGAATATAGGAAGTAACTATATAGGAACTATGCTACCTGAGGAAATACAATGTATTTCTTTGCTTTGATGAGTATAACTCACTTTAAATTACCAATAGAAGTTCTTGATATTGTGCTGATAAAATGGTTGCATGCTTTGCTACTTATGTATTTAGCTTCATTGTGATACTCTGCTGTAATGGACAAACTGAAAAGGAAAAATGCAAAAACAGACATAACCCCACAGATATGGATACGGCCTGTGATGTAGCTTCACATGCTTAAGAGAACAATACGCCTCTATCAACTTCAATTTACACATGAGTGTGAGGGTGTCCAACTGCCTACTGGAAGGTGGCCAAGAAAACAAAGCATGTTATGGTTGGAATAAGTGTGTGTGTTTTATGTAGAATTGTCTGTCTAAAATTGATTATGTTAAGGAAGAGGGCACCGATTAACCAAGTTAAACTGCACGGGGGAAACTACAGAGATTTTGGGAGGAAAAAAATGGTATCAGCTTGAAAAGTGGTAGATTTGCAAGGCGGGGAGAGACCCTATGGAGCAAACTTTGCAGAGCTAAAGTGCACTTTAACAAGAGCTGAGTAATATTTCCTGAAAAAAAAAAAAAAAGCTTTTGCTTTTAGATGCATGAGCAATCCAGTACACTTAAGATAGAAATTCTGTGAAATTCTCTTGGTATGTACTAAATTTGTGTGGATATAGCCAATACCCAGTGCAAGAGCTCAGGTATTTGTGATATTACAGGTAGCTGCATTCTGAGATAGCAACCAAGCAAACACTAAGAGTAATCCATAGGGGAAATAAATATAATTGGAAATAACCTTCAAATATATGTTTCCAGGAAAACCTCATACCTGAGATCATAATGGAAATCTAATATATATTTTTTTAGTTTAACTGACTGCTCAGTCTTTCACTGAGCCTTCATATTATTGAGACATTGATAGAAATAGCCATTACAATATGTGATTTACAAAACATAAATGCAAATGGTGAGGTTGTTGTTAATATCTTAAAAAGGTTTTTCTGTGAAGTCTGTGACTGGATGCATGCCTTCACTCAGGAAGGATGAGGCTAATACAAGTTACATAAGAGATGTTAGCCTTGAAAACTGATGCAGTCCAGTTCTCAATAGAGCAATACCTATACAACTCAAGTACAATCTGTATTTCATTATTTTATAAGTATAAAAACTTAGTTGATTTGCTTCGAAAAAAAAAATTGTATTTATGAATTTTTGTGGGGAATTGTTCCTCTAGTGATATATTTCAGCCCATGAACAGAGAATGTTCCTATGTAGATGTTAGGGAGCTATGGTGTTTTTTTAGCAATGAAAACCTTGTTATAAATTTCAGATTGAGCTCCCACTGAAAGAAATGTTTGTTATATTGCTGGAGCTTACCAAAAATTGTACTGGGACTGAGGACACAAGATGTTTCGTGTCAAAGTATTGGAAAGGATTTTATTGAAATACTTTAAATTACAATTGTATTTCTTGCCATTTTCTAGTGGCACTGGGAATTGTGTTCTTAAGTAGTTTCAGACAGGAAATCAAGGGTGTGAGGAGACTGTTCAGCTGAGTGTAAAGAGCTGCCACTGGGTGTAAATGCCTGCTTTTAATCTACTTGAACCCAAATTAATTTTAAGCACCATAAGCTTCATGTGCATTTATTTCCCCTGTAGCTCTTTTAGTTGATCTCAAGAGAGATGAGATACATGTATGATTCAGATAATAGTGTTACGCATGAACATAGAGGAGGACATGATCTCTGTCTTTGTGGAATTTGTTTTCACATTGAATCCTAAAGCACACATATACAAGTTGAGGTGGCAAAGCTTTCTCACAGCCTAGCCCAATATTGTCAAGATGATCTCTGAGAGAACCGAACGAACGCTGTTTTCTGTAGACTGCAATCCTTACCATCTGCATAAGACGTATTGTTCATCATTTAGCATAAACATGTGGCACCATGCAAGAAAATCTATGCCTGTATTATTATTAAAAAAAAAAAAAAAAAAAAAAAAAAGGCATCCCAAACTAACTTGGGACTCCAAAACAAGTAAGACATGGAACTGTGGATTCAAAGAAGGTACTCAAAGATGATCAAAGGACTGGAACACCATTCTTATGAAGGAAGGTTGAGGAAGCTAGGCTTATTCTTCTTGTAAAGAGACACCCCACTGTAGCTTTCCAGGTACTTAACATGAGCTTATAAACAGGAGGGAGACTGACTTTGTATGCAGTCAGATATTGATAGGACAAGGGGGAATTATTTTAAATTAAAAGAGAGGTGATTTAGATTCTATATTAGGAGGAAATTTTTACTCAGAGGATGGTGAGGCGCTGGAACAGTTTTGCTGGAGAAGCTGTGGGTGCCCCATCCCTGGAGATGTTCATGGCCAGGTTGGATGAGGCCCTGGGCAATCTCAGCTGGTTGTCAACCCTGCCCGCAGTAGGAGGCTTGGAACTAGGTGATCATTAAGGACCTTTCCAACTCAAGCCGTTCTATAATTTTAACTCTCCACTCTACAATTTTCCCTACATGGAGAATGAAAGAACAATTAGATATCTGATCTTAGTCATATTGCTTAGTATTCCACCAGAACGAACCCAATTACAAAGCAGGTGAACTCAAAAATAAGTTTTATTATAAGCCAGAAATACTTTTACAGGAATTAACCCCTTTTTTTCCCTAGCTTGCAGGAAAAAATAAAAAAAATCAGTATAGCTAGTGTGCATCTCCTTTAATGCTGTGTTGCCTACACAACCTTGAGGAAGTCATGAGGAACGAGCTTACAAGGGGGACTAAGCATTAAGAGAAGCCACAAAACAAGTAACACAACACTTTTTGGGTAGTTAGGGACTTCAACTTTCTGACTAAATCTCCTTTCCCGTGTAGTAATAGGACAATAGGGTTTTTGTTCCAGGCTTACGGTCTCCTTTCCCATAACTTCCTAACATGTTCTTCCTTCTATGCTAGTCATAGGATCAAAGGTTATCTCAAACTGAAAGAGACCCACAAGGATCTTTGAGTCAAACTCCTAACTCTACCCAGGACCACCCAGAATTCTAGCCCTACATCTGAGAGTGCTGTCCAGATGTTCCTTAAACTCCAGCAGGCTTAGTGCAATGACCACTTACTTCCCTGGGGAGCCTGTTCCATGCCCACCACCCTCTGGTGAAGAACTTTTTCCTAATTCCCTTTCCTGACACAACTCCATGCCATTCCTTTGGGTTCAGGTGCTGTCACCAGAGAGCAGAACTCAGTGCTGCCCCTCCACTCCCTGTGAGGAGCTGTAGGGCCCCATGAGATTTCCTCTTGGCCTCCTCTTCTCTGGGCTGAGCAAGCAAAACAACCTCAGCTATTCATGATGTCCTGCTTATGTTTCTAGTTCCTGCCCTGACTTGCCTACAATTGTAAATATCGCAGGGCTTTCCCAATTACTATCATTACGTTAACCTCTTTACCTGTTACAGCTTTTCTCTCTCCACTGTTTCTCATGTCTATTTACTACGTAAGCTATTCGCGATAAGATTATTTACAGCCTAACACAATGCATCTCAGTCATAGGTCATGCTTAGGCTATTGTGATGATTTAGTAAAATAATAAGACTCTGGTTGTTAGCATCCACAGCATTTCATTGACTGTAAATAGCACGGAATTTGAAGTTGGCTAACTTTCATGTTTTTTATGTATGACAGGGCTACCTTTTTATTTATTGTTGTTGTTTAAGTTCTGCTTTTATTATGGAATTTGCTGGCACAGGAGATGTAAGTAATTCTATAAATTGCCTAAGGCTGTTTATATCATAACCTATGGGTGCATTATTAGATGATAAAAATAGATGTCTCTAATGAGAAAATGCTTAGAAATAAGTGAAATGTGAACTCTCCTGACAACCTTTTCTATTGTTTATTTGGTTTTTTTTGTACTTTATTTTTTTCTATTCAGCACGAATTATCAAAACGAAACAGTGGTGTGAAATGCTGCCGTGTTTAGAAGGAGAAGGCTGTGATTTGCTAATCAATAAATCAGGCTGGACCTGTACACAACCAGGAGGTCGGATAAAGACAACCACGGTAAATCACTTCTCTTTTCTATATTCAATATCTTTTTCACTGTGTTTTATTGGAAAACAAAGAATGAGATTTCTAATTGCTTTTCAGCACAGTTTTGTAAATTGTTGCCTTATAATTAAGCTATGGGTCCAAATGTTCTTACTGAAATGCATAGAAGTGCTATCACAAAGACAGGGAAAAATGTAAAATGCCCCTAAGAATGGAAATTATGTCAAGGTTTTTTTTATAAGGGATCAGTGGTTTTACTAATGCATGTGTTCAGGCTGAAAATGGTTTCTTATTTCTTCACTTTATGAAAATTTTTGTATGCTGAGGAAGTATAGGATATAAAACTGAACACGTGTTCTAGCAGAGCAGAAAGAAAGTTTTCCTTTCAGAGGTGTGGAGGAAATACTTTTGCTGCTCCCACCGCAATGGGAAAATCTTTGCATTGACAGATCTTAAGTTTTCATTGAGGCAGTAACTGAGCAGCATAGAAAACCTAGTTAAAAAAAAAAAAAAAAAAAATGCCTTTTACCTTCATTTTGGTCCTAGTTTGTTGATAGAATCTTCAGATCTATGATTTGGTGTCTTGGGGCTTATTCTTGCAGTGAAGCTGATAGTGTATATGACAGTGATAGTTTCTAGAGTCTGTAATATACCAAATATTTCAATAAAATGTTCTCAAATGCCAATAACTCTCTGACTTCAGAAATGGAAAAAATCCTGATAAATAAAATAGAGAAACATTCTGATAGCTAGCTAGACCTTGTGAAATGATTTTTTCCCCTGTAAACATTTTTTAGATTTACAGGGAGCTTGAGTACAATTTAAATAAGACAATTTAAAGGATATTTTGTGTTACGAGTATTTATTATTGAGGGCGAAGTTAACGCCTATCAACCCCTGCACAATTTCTCTGTCTGAACATGAGACAGACAGCAGTAGAAAGCCTCTTATAGCTTTAGAATATCTGTATCTTTTATAAAAGGAATGAAGAGTTGATGGGACTTTACAAGTTATATGCAAAAGAAACTCTATGAAATGTGATTACTGTTTTGATGCTCTCGTTTTTGGAAGACATTTCATTATGGACAGGGCTCCCAAATTCACTCAGTCTCTGAGGTCTTACTTGGATATTGTTTGTCTATAGATATTTTGAATTCAAGTTACATAAGCATGTACAACAACAACAAAAAAAAAGAGACCACAAAAAAACAAAAAAAAAAGAGAGATGTTTTAAACATTAATGTGAGCTTCCAATGGCAAGGATTCCTGATATAACTTTGTCAGACCAAATGTATAATCTTAAATCTTGTTAATACAGGGGTGTTTTCTGTACTTGAGGTAAGTGGAAAACCTATGTACCATGACACATTATCAGCTGTCATTATAGTTCTTTATTTGATGTTTTATGCTAATGAAATGGCTGAATAATGCAAAGTAAGCTGAGGATCTATCTTTCAGTATCTATCTTTAATAAAGTGATTCAGATAACCTTTCAGATTTAACATCAGAAGCTTGCTTCTGAGCTCTTACTTGTCTGTATAGCTCTTAAATGCTATTGACATGAATTGAATGACTCATTATTTTGATTAACATAAATGAAATTATAATCATGCCCCATCTCAGTTAAATTATGGCCAAGGCAAGTATAATATTATTAAGCAGATTCTTCCCCACATGGAGACGTTGTCATTGGTGAGGAAAGATTCTGCCAGAGAGCCAACTGTAGAACAGTTCTGAGCATAAGTCTTCATCTAACATTGAGCAGCCTTCAACAGTTGGTATCACACATGCAGACACACAACAAACACACAGTATTTTTCAGTCAAGGCAGACTAGCTCTCAGAATGTTTAAAGAAGCTCTGAATCCAGAATGGAAAGTAAAACCAACCAACAGCAAAACCATGAAAATGCAAGCCATAATGCATTATTAATAAAACCACATTTTAACAAATGTTCATTTGTTCTCTAGATGCCTCATTGAAGGTTATGGAAAGCTCTGGACAATGGTAACAGGCATGGAAGCTATGTCTTAGGATAACTTTTTGAAGTGCTTGACTGTGATTTAAAAGAAGAGAAATTTTCTAGCAGAAACATCATAAGACCTTATTTTCTCTGGCAGTGTTCTTATGTCAAAAGCTACTGACACAGTCAAGTATTTTCTATTTCTGCTCAGAATATGCATCTGAGTTACCAGTCCCACAGTGGCGTCTAATTATAATGGGGAGGATTAACAGTGTGCAGAGAAGGGACGGGAAAATGGTCACCAGGAAGTAAGGGAAAAATCATGTCCAAACATATTACATGAATTATTATACATTATTTGTATTGTTAAGTAGAAACAGTTAACCACATTTTCAGTGGTAGCTACATTATATCCTTAATTATATCCTCACTTGTTAACTCACATTTGTTAATCTAATATTTACAGTCCTTTTCTAAATACATTAATCAGTATCATGAAGATGTTTGGCACTATGTCTTACATTGTCGTGGCGGTGATAGAATCATGTTACAGAGAGATCTCTGGTAAATGCTGAAGACAGTCATTTGCTATTGTGCTGATGCCAGGACAGTACTGAACTCTGATGGACTGAGACCAGCTGTTGTGATAATACCAGCTGCTTTGATTACAGATAGATGTGTGTAAGTGTAACTTTTTGAATAACTGGATTTAAAAGAAGCACATGAAATTATAGAACTAGTGAAGATTCTGCCTAGGGTATCATTTCTGTATGTGAGAATATAATCTAGGACTTCTGTTTGTTTTGTTTTGTTTTACTAAAACAAGGATGAAATACTTTTTATTTTCTTGAGATATATTCAACATTTAACATCTTTTTCCTATGAAGTTGCCAAGCAAATAGGATAAGAAAATACCCTTTTCTGCAAAGTATGAATGCGAATTCTTTAAAGTGCTACTTTGTTTGTGTCAAAATTCTGTAGACTTTCTATGAAGAGCCAGATTTTTTTCACCACATGGCACTTTTTGTAATTACCTCTGGAAATAATGCAGTGAAATCAGAATTCTCTCCTCACATGGGTAGGAGTGTTTTATACCCATTTTGTGCTCACTTTGCACAGCTATAAATGACTACACAAAGTGCAAGGCAAAGGAGAATCAAACTCAGAGTATACTCTAAATGGATCTGGATGTCACTTCTGCCCTGTCATCCTATCTACAAGGTGTGAATGAACCAAGGATTTTTCATCTGCTAAGAGGCTTTTAGAATGGAGGATTGTCTGGGCTAACTGCCAATCTGTGTATTAAGCCGCTGATACAAGGAAACAATATGGCAACTTGTAAAATAAGGTAGCAAGAGAATATTACAGAATTGTTAGCACTTTCAACGTACCAAATACTCTGATGTGAAAAATGTCCTTTCAGTCACTTTAATACCTTCTACCTTAAAAAGTTCTTCCCTTTTTGCTATTCTTACTATTTTTTTTTTTTAAAGAAGGTACATTATATTTTAAAATAGTTATGTAGAATCAATAACACCATAAAAGATGTGATAATTATTTTTTTTTTTCCAGATGTTGTTGAGAAGCTTATCCATTTTATAGGTCAAGTTAAAAAAAAAATAAATCTTTCCAGTGTATAAATGAGAAGATTCAGAATGTATCGGCTTTACAGGGGAGATTAATTTTAGCAGCAAAGTGTATATACGTTGTCAGTGATCCATCACTACCTAATTGTTACTTAATTAATTCCTTCTTCTACATGATGTGATTTCAATGCATGGAGCTTAACAGAACATTCATGCGCCAATTCCTCAGTAGCTAACCTTTTAAAACCTTTGTGATTGTACTGCTAAATTAGCTGAAGTGGGAAATTAAAGAGTATGAAGAAGCTAAGAGAGAGCTCACAGTGGATAAAAGGTGTAATTACTCTGACATGGAGCTCAGTGCTTAGCTAGTAAAATTTACTAAGGATCTAGTTTCACCAAGGGACGTGACTTTCTTAATAGTTTACTTACACACCGAGCAACTTAGCATTCCTCACCATTAATATAAATGACATGCTGGCTGGGTTGGAAAGGCAATTTGTTCTTCACTCTGAGAAATACGACAGCAGTTTTTATTGGCTGCAACTTAAATCAAGATTTTTTTGTAGAGCCTTATCATACACAGATGTATGATAATGGTAAATCAGTGAAAATATACTGGTTTTCTTTTCATCATTGACTTACGAGCAATATGTTCTCATTAATACCATTACATTCTAATTAAATAAATATATATATGTTACATACTTGTAACATACTTGAGAATTTACTTTTTTTTAGACTGAAGACCAGCTGGAAATGTCCTGAGGCCATGGTCTAGTGGTCTGAGCTTGGGACTGGGAGCCAGAAACTCCTGAGCTCTAATCCCGGCTCTGACAGTGACTTCCTCTGTGGCCTTGGGTAAGTCACTGAACCTCTCTGCCTCAGTTTACCCAGCAGTAAAAATAAGATTAACAATCCTTAGCTACTTATCTTAGTGAATTTGGAGATTTGAATTAATATTTTAAGAGCTTTAAAAATTCAGATTTTCTTAAAAATGAAAGTACTGTTATTTATGTTCTTACTGGTGATATTCATGTTTTTGTTAGATACTCATATAACTGGCTTTACTGTACTTAGCTTCACTGATGTTCCAGCTCTGAGTGTTTCTAAATGTGCATTCAACATCTCCACAGCTCAGCTGATTGTATTTGGTTAAGCTGTTTTTGGAAGTTTGTTGACGTCTCACCAGTTGTAATTCTGTTTCATTCTAGAACATAATACTCACCAAATAAGTTTTCAGAAAGCACTGAAATTAGAGCAGTGGGATGATGCAAGCATCCATGCTATGCCAAATTAGGTTTCTCTCTTTCGCTCTGATGGTCAACTTACAAAACAGATGCATAAGACCCACTTGTCAGCAGGTCATCTTCCAAGTTCTCACGCTTTTCTAATTATAAGCAGGGACACTACATACAGACCGAAATTAGAGAGGCTATTTTTTCAGGAATCTGTCTTATCCCTTCA